GGGAAGGCACCAAGGGACAGGGTGTAGGAGAGAGACAAATGCCAGGGGGCCAAGTGGAGACAATGAGGAAAAGGCCAGGAGAGGAGGTGTCAGTGAGAGGTGTCAGTGGGAGGGGGGGCAGGGTGATGCTGGGAGAGGAGAGGGGAAGGGGAGGTGCTGGGAGAAGGCTTGAAAGGAGGGGTGGCATGAGGAAGGTGGGGATGGAGCAAGATGTGTGAGGGCACAGAGGGGCAGAGGGGTAATGGGGCAGAGGGTGGTGAGAGGGTGGGCATCAGGGAAAAAGAGGGCAAAGGGGGCAGGGGCAGTGAGGGAAGGGGGAGCACTAGGAAGGTGCAGGGGTAAGGGAAGGTGTAGGTGCCAGGGGATTCTGGGATGAAGCAGAAGGGCAGACACCTGCAGAAGAGGGACCAGCACCAGAGGAGAGAGGCAGGGCAGGGGTGTAGAGGGCGGTGTTAGAAGAGGGGATGAGGAGGGGTAGCTCACATGATCAGAGTGGGGCTACTGGAGGAGTGGCACAGGGGGGAGAGAAGGGCTGGTGGAGGGGGGCAGTGAGAAGGGCAGGAGTCAGGACAGCAGAGGTGGGTGAAGGGTTGGGGGCGGGAGGCAGCAGGCACCAGGAGAGCTGATGGAGCAAGCAGAGGAGACCGAGCAGCAAAGGGGAAAGGTAGAGGTTCATAAGATATTTATTAATAACTTTGGTGCCACAGTAGCACATCCAAACATGCCACAAACTCAGTAATGGTGTACAACACAAAATTTATTGTGCTCATGGGAGGAAACTCTTAAAAGGAACACTTCCCCCAGCCTCTCCACCCCTCGAGTTAATGTCATACACATTGGGTTAATTCAATTACAGGATAGTTGCATGAGGGGGGTTTGGTAAGGGCCAAACTAATCCCTATTGGTAAGAGGATGGTGGGAAAAGTCCTTGGGGGGAAGGGCATGTCACATGACACCTTTTATTTCTGTTCATGTGTCCATATTGCCCCGAAAGTGTTACCTCCAGAGGCGTGGCTAATGGGGGGCAGGGGTTGTGGTAATGGCGGTCAAAGAGTAAATTTTAAAAAAAATTCTTTGGGTGCACACCCTAATGAAATGTGCTGCGCACTCCTATGTGCAGTATCATGTGCCAATGTGCACCACCAGTAGAAACAAAACATAGCTGTGGGAACCCTGCGAATCAGGTGGGTGGCATTGGAACCTCTAGAGAGACTGCACAAGCACCCAGCTTACAGGGAACATTGATTACCAGAACCTTTTAATTATCAGTTACGCAACACCCACCAAGATTTATGTACAATCTAATCAATTACTTCAGACATTTTTCATTTAATTACAATGTATGTTCATAAATGTGTGTGTGTGTGTAAAAAAAACCCCAAATAACACCACACTAAAATTTTTGCCAGCAACTATTTACATAGCTTAACCTCTGCAAT